TGGGGCTGGATGGAGCCGATGGATCCCGTTGCGGGATGGAAGGGGGGAGGTGGGAGAGAAGGGGTGTCCGGGCCGCCCCTCTCCGGGGCTGTCAATCAGGGCGGGGGATCAGGGGCCCCGGCTGCGGGGAGAGACGGAGCTACTACGCCACAACCCCCTTCTGCAGCCAGCTATCGCCGCCATGAGAGAGAGCCAGGCCCCCATCCCTCCTCCTCCAGCATCCAGCCTCCCTCACACACAGCGACCGGCCTTTATATCCACCCCCCGTCCCATCCCCTCCGCTAGCCTCTTCCCTTCCTCCTGATTATCAGTGCTAGCATTAATTCACCATGAGCGGTACGTAACACCCCCAGCAGCTCCATTGCTGCCTCCTCCCTCCTACAATCTCCCTTTCATCAGATCATCCCCGAGCACCGTGACAGCCTCCTCCTGCGGGGTGTGACAGCAGCCATGGGGTCGGGTCTAGAGGAGCATGTGTCTAAATGTGGGATATACAAATACTGGCATCACCACTGGAGGTGGGCTATCCCGGCATCATACCTGTCACCTGCCCTGACATCATACATGTCCTCTATGAAAGCATCATACATGTCACCCTCTGTGCTGCTCTTATATCTTGGCATTCTTCATGTCACCTGTCCTGGCATCATATGTGTCACCTGCCCTTGCATCATGTGTCATCTTCTGTTCTGGTCACCTATCTCAGAATCATATATGTCACCCTCTGCTCTGGTCACCTATCTCAGGATCATACATGTCATGGTCTCCGTATCATATTTCATCCTCTGTTCTGGTCACCTATCTCAGCATCATACATGTCATCATCTGCTCCGGTCACCTATCTCAGCATCATACATGTCATCATCTGCTCCGGTCACCTATCTCAGCATCATGCATGTCATCATCCGCTCCGGTCACCTATCTCAGCATCATACATGCCATCATCTGCTTTGGTCACCTATCTCAGCATCATACATGTCATCATCTGCTCTGGTCAGCATGCTCCTGGCACACATAGTATGATGGGCTCATCTGGCCGGATCTGTTCTGCCTGGGATGGCCGGTATAATTGGTGGTTGGGGTTAGGATAGACAATGGCCTTAAAATTCGGAATGTTCATGGAATTTTCCCAAGTCTGTCTGGAATTCAGCAAATGAATCTGATTTAATGGTAGCAGTCAGCTGATAATGGCAAGTTAGCAACCTTTATTACCCAATGCATCTCCGAACGTTTTCCGTTCCTTTGTTTACACATGTGACCTGTCGTCCTGGTTATTTTACAGATCAGGCGGAAGAAGATATGGCCAGCGAAGAAGGAAAAAGTAATGAACCCGAAACCAAAAAAAAGGGCAAAGCATCAGGTTCACAGGTAACTTTATGATATGATCATATAGGGTGCTCTGCATTAAAGTGTATCTAAACCCAAAAACGAAGATGTTATATATTGCAGCTTACAGTCCATATGTGGCGGCTGCATTCGTTTTCATCTGGTATTGCTGCAAATAATAAACTTCCTGTCCCTTTGTGTCTCCACTTCTTCATAGTATCTATGGAGCGAGCCAGGGGTTGTCACCCTAGTTGAACTTCAACCTTGTCTGCCTTTGTTCTTGTCAGTTATGTAGATAGATAGATAGATAGATAGATAGATAGATAGATTTTATTTGTCACATACACAATCGTACAAGTATGATATGCAGTGAAATGCTTACACAACTGCAGAGCAGTCGTGACGGCAGCCGACTACACCGGCACCATCTTTGTAGAGCAGTACGGTGACAAGACGCGGATGTAGAGAGCCATACATATGTGGCAGATTGATGGGCTCAATAGTTTACAAAGGAGGGATAACATTGTTTTCGCTGTCTTTTAAGCTCACAGGAAATTAAAGGGACATTTCTGGCAGAATCAACGCGTATTTTCTGTACTTGCCAAAATGTTTATTTTCCTATAAAAAGATAACTAACGCAGCCACCACATCTAAGGACCGATGCGCTGCAATATGTCATGTTTTTTGTGTTTAGATACGCTTTCATTATTATTATTTCTTATTTTTGACTAAATTTAAAGCAGTATTCCTGAAGAAAAATCTAAAAAAAGCAGCCTGCAAGAGAAGGATCTCAGAATCATATATGTCACCCTCTGCTCTGGTCACCTATCTCAGGATCATACATGTCATGGTCTCCGTATCATATTTCATCCTCTGTTCTGGTCACCTATCTCAGCATCATACATGTCATCATCTGCTCCGGTCACCTATCTCAGCATCATGCATGTCATCATCCGCTCCGGTCACCTATCTCAGCATCATACATGCCATCATCTGCTTTGGTCACCTATCTCAGCATCATACATGTCATCATCTGCTCTGGTCAGCATGCTCCTGGCACACATAGTATGATGGGCTCATCTGGCCGGATCTGTTCTGCCTGGGATGGCCGGTATAATTGGTGGTTGGGGTTAGGATAGACAATGGCCTTAAAATTCGGAATGTTCATGGAATTTTCCCAAGTCTGTCTGGAATTCAGCAAATGAATCTGATTTAATGGTAGCAGTCAGCTGATAATGGCAAGTTAGCAACCTTTATTACCCAATGCATCTCCGAACGTTTTCCGTTCCTTTGTTTACACATGTGACCTGTCGTCCTGGTTATTTTACAGATCAGGCGGAAGAAGATATGGCCAGCGAAGAAGGAAAAAGTAATGAACCCGAAACCAAAAAAAAGGGCAAAGCATCAGGTTCACAGGTAACTTTATGATATGATCATATAGGGTGCTCTGCATTAAAGTGTATCTAAACCCAAAAACGAAGATGTTATATATTGCAGCTTACAGTCCATATGTGGCGGCTGCATTCGTTTTCATCTGGTATTGCTGCAAATAATAAACTTCCTGTCCCTTTGTGTCTCCACTTCTTCATAGTATCTATGGAGCGAGCCAGGGGTTGTCACCCTAGTTGAACTTCAACCTTGTCTGCCTTTGTTCTTGTCAGTTATGTAGATAGATAGATAGATAGATAGATAGATAGATAGATTTTATTTGTCACATACACAATCGTACAAGTATGATATGCAGTGAAATGCTTACACAACTGCAGAGCAGTCGTGACGGCAGCCGACTACACCGGCACCATCTTTGTAGAGCAGTACGGTGACAAGACGCGGATGTAGAGAGCCATACATATGTGGCAGATTGATGGGCTCAATAGTTTACAAAGGAGGGATAACATTGTTTTCGCTGTCTTTTAAGCTCACAGGAAATTAAAGGGACATTTCTGGCAGAATCAACGCGTATTTTCTGTACTTGCCAAAATGTTTATTTTCCTATAAAAAGATAACTAACGCAGCCACCACATCTAAGGACCGATGCGCTGCAATATGTCATGTTTTTTGTGTTTAGATACGCTTTCATTATTATTATTTCTTATTTTTGACTAAATTTAAAGCAGTATTCCTGAAGAAAAATCTAAAAAAAGCAGCCTGCAAGAGAAGGCTCATAATACTTACTTCTCGGGTGTGTGGTGAGTCCTTACTGCCATCTTCAAGAGCTACATCCTCCAGGGAAACTCTTTTAAGCCTCACTGACACGGGGCTTTTATGTGTGTGCGGGGATTCCTGCGACAAGAACATACAGATTCTCGGGGCAGGAATCTGAGGTGTCTGTACACATGTGGCCGCTGTACCCATTTAAGTTAATGACAAGCTGACAGCAGCCGCATCTGTCCGTGGCTGTCCAAATGTAATTATACATGGAACGATTACCTGCAGATGCGGAGAGATGCTTGTCACCGGATGCAATCTGTCAAGATGCAGACACTGTCAGCCTGGTATTCACTTGAATGGGCACAGCGGCCGCATCTGTACAGACCCCCCTGAGATTTTTGCCACAGGCATCCCCAGACGCACATAAAAAGCCCCATGTGCATCCATTACTTCTTAAAGTTGGCTGCCTGCTCCCTCTGGTTCTGTCTGCCAGCTCCTACGTCACTACATCACACACACATTTTGTAGGGGCCAGTGGGATGAAACACAGAGCATAGCAGGGGCCAGGCATCCAACACGCCTGGAATATCCAATATGAAGATTCTTCTGTAGCTTCTTGAGTAAACTAATGATGCGCCACTTGCCAGAGAGGTAAGCATTAACGTGAACCTGTACCCAGATTATGGACACTTAAGTATTTACATATTCTAAACAAATAGTAAAAGTGCTTTTAACCACTTGCTGACCAGGTGTTTAGACCCCCTTCCTGGCCATGCCATTTTGCAGTATTCAGCGCTGCGGTATTTTGACTGACGTTTATTTCGTCATACAACACTGTACTGAAATTAATTTTATACCATTTTTTGGGGGACAGATAGAGCTTTCTTTTGGTGGTATTTAATCACCACTGGGGGTTTTATTTTTTACTATATTAGGGAAAAATTACTGAAAATTTTTGGGGAAAAAAGTTTTTTTTTTTTTACATTATGTTAGGAAACCATTATTATTACCCAATTTTTTGATCAAATATAAAATACGGGGTTACGTCGGGTAAATAGACACCAAACATGTCAAGCTTTAAAATTGCGCGCACCCGCAAAATTGCAAAGAACTACCATACCAAAAGTTGGCCATAGGCGACGCTTTAAAAGCTTTTACCGCTCATCAGTTTAGTGTTATCAGTGATTAATGGCCCTAGAATTATTTCTCACACCGCGGCGTTCGCGGCGATAAGTAAAATGTGCGGCGTAATGGGCGCAATCGTCGTTTTCATATATGTATGCGCACCCGACGCATGTTTGCATGCGTGCATGTATGGGTGGGGACTTAAAAAACATATTTAAAAAAAATAAAATATATTATTCTTTTGTGTAACTTAAAATGTTTTTTTTGCAAGTTAAAAATTTTTTTTTCACTTAACTTTTTATTGCTATCACATAGGGGGCTAAGAAAACCCCCCTATGTGATAGGAAAGAGGATGTGACAGGTCCTCTTTATGGAGACATCAGGGGTCACCTAGGACCCCCCAAAGAAGCTGATGAAGCAGAGATCTGCTTCATCAGCTTCTCTCCAGCGTCTAAAGCTGGAGAGTGACACAAGAATGCGGAAGTGATGTTATATACATCACTTCCGAATTCTGACAGGGATCGTTTACCGATCTCCCTCTAAACCCCTGTCAGAGAGCCACCATGGTGGTCCCGGGCTCGCACTGGGCACAGCGGGAAGGCGGACACACACACACACCTCTCTTATACAAGCGATCCGCCGGCTCTATATGCTAACAGGCGTCGCTGCCCATGTTTTAATTTAAGCAATCTCCCGCGTGAGTGGGCGTGGCTGGTGGGACGTTTAAATACGCCCGCTCAGCTCCTGGCCGGCGTATTTTTACAACGGCCGGGCAGCGGTTAAACAAGCCCTCATTCACCAGGGTATCTACCGTATAAGCATTGGGGAGAAATTCATTTTCAATGTTATTTTCTATTACGGCAGATCTTGGCAGCCTGCCAACCTATTGTTTCTGAGGTGTTAGAAACCAATTTAAGCCCAACTAGAGTCTATGCTGTGATCTTTGAGAAGGGATAACTTCACATTAAAAGCATCTAGAGAGGTCAGTATTGGCTTGTTGCTAAGCATTGTTTACATGCTTGATAAGAATGTGTAAATATTTGAATGTCCATAGTCTGGGTACAGGTGCACTTTCAAGCAGAAATAAACCCACCTCCCTTTGCTTCCTTGCCAGTGCCAACATCTTCACCTGGCCTTCTTCCTGGTTCCTAATCAACCTTCTTGATTGACCAGGCCGGAATGACAAAAGTTCTGCGCAGGTGCCCAGTAGGAGCCCAGTGTACAGTCTAAAGAATATTGCAAACAGGCAGGTGAGTTTGTTTTAAGAGTAATTCCAGTTTCTCAGCAAATGGGGGAAACTAAAATTACCCCTACAAATTGGTCCCCCCTGGAATCGACCCCAACCC